ATGGATATCAAAAGGATCTCTTAAGGATATCCAAAAAATCGGCGGTTTGGATATCCCAAGATATCCTGGGGACCATTCTAGGATATCGACCATTGATATATATATGGATATCCTAGGGATATCCTTTTGTTATGAGGGATAATTTTCGGTTTAAAATTAATCCGAAAATCGTAACAGGCTCGCAAATAAATCAATATTTATAGATACTCGAAGAAATAAAAAATTTATCTTTTTTTTTACGTTGGAAAATATTTTTTTTAGATTTTAAAAAACAAAAAGAGATATGTATCCAAAAAAAAAAAAGTTCCAATCAATTAGCGTTAGAAAAACTATTATCTCATAATAATTGAGCGCGTGTTAGAAAAATAACAGGATGTTAAACGTTGATTGATAGTCGTGACTTTCCTTCGCGGTCAGGGGAAGTTCACACATAATAATTATATATATGTATATGGGCGTAACACGATAAGATCATTTCTCATTCGACAGAACGTCAACAGTCATTACCGGGGTATATAACCGCATGGTATACATATACGCAATTTACTATATATATATTTTATATGTGAGAGTACTTTGAGCTTCATTGTAAACGATAATAGATCCTATTATATGTAGAAAACATACATATAGATATATACGCAATTTATATGCGATAATAAACACCTCTAAAAGCTAATACACTCGTACACTTCAATTATAAATGCCACTTGTTGTTTATATATCACATATAATATAAAATTATAATCCACATATTTCACCTCTCTCTCTCATCATTTGTCTCTTCGCGCTCAATTATTATCACGGGGTGTGTGTGTGATAGAAAAAAAGGGGAGCAAAGTTACACCTATATACTAAAATTAGATGAAAATTATATTCTCTCACGGGACATTGTCACTGTATAATCAAATATACTCTAATCATTTTAATGTACTCTTTTTTTTCCTCTTTTTTTCAAGCAAACGTGTCGTTTTTAACAGAAAAGAATTTACTTTTTTTTTAAATTATTATTTTTTTCATAATTATATAATAGAAAAAATAGAATTTTTTTACAGTTATACTAAGAATATACATGAAAGAAAAAATATTCTTCATTTGAGAGAAATCCTTTTATTTTTATACGAATACAATTATGTAACAGTAATCAAAAAGTAGTACACTTATTTTTGAGAAAAAAAACCTTTTAAAAAGAAATTTTTTTTTCCTCTTAATCTGAGAGGATACTTTAAAATTAAGAGGAAAAGTTGCACATTTTTTTTCTGTTCTAAATTAGGCATATTCTAAAAATAGCCTAGTCATTAAATAGTGTATATCACTTTTTTAAAAAAAACTATATATTCTTTTAGGAATATATACCTACCTCTCAAATTAAGAGGAAATCACGCGATTTTTAATGTTTCTATTATTTAAATTTAGTTTATTAAAATTTATTCTAAAAAGAATAGCTCTAATCATAAGTGAGGTATAACACCTCAAAAAAACGATATTCTAAATTTAAGAATATATATTATACTCTCAAATTAAGAGGAAACGTGCCTCTTAATTTTTATTGTTTCTAAATTATTCGACTTTATTATAAAAAGAATAACCTAATCATGAATAAAAAAAAACGATTTTCCAAATTAAAAAATATATTATGTACTCTCAAATTAAGAGGATTTTTATTTTTCTTCGTTTCTTAATTTTTTTTTTATTCTAAAAATAATAACCTGATCATAAATAGAATATATTACTTGGAAAAAATATACTAAATTAAAGAATATATTTATACTCTCAAATTAAGAGGAAAACGTGGCTTTCAAGTTTTTTTATTTCTAAATTATTTTAATAATCTAAAAAAGTAAATTTATAAATAAGAAAATTATTCTTATATTGAGAAAATTATTCTTAATTTAAGAGGAAATATAATTATGAGAATTTAATATGTGCTACTTTGTTATAGAGTGTTTTATATAGACTTTAGAGAGATATATATATATATAAAGAATATGAAAATTTAATTTAGTTTTATAGTAAAAGTTGTGAACAATTTTTTACAAAGTTTATTAGTTATATATATATACGGCAGTAGAGAATTTCCCTTATGACAGTTTTTTTTTCCTTTAAAGCGAAACACATTTTCCGGACGCGCATTGTATTTTCTAATTACACGAGGAGGGTAAAAAATGTTCTTCCAAGTACCGCAAAAGAGGATGCAAATGATTTTAAATTTTTTTTTTTTTGCTTCTCAAAGATTAAATAAAAATTTCAATAAATAAAAATTCTTTTTATTTTATTATTATTTAATTATTTAATTTAAAAAAAAAATTTAATTATTTTTTTAATTTTTAAGAATTTTAAAAAATTTTTTTAAATTTTTTAAATTTTTACTATAAAAAAATTTTTTTAAATAAAATTTTGTTTTATTGCATTTTAATTGAATTGAATTTATTTGAAAAACTTTTATTTGTTATTTCAATTTTGCATAATATGTATATATACAAAATAAATGAAAATAATTTACGTACATATAGTCGAGAGAAAATTTTGCATATGTATATAAATTTTTGACATAATAAATTTAAATTTAACTGAAAATTTATTATGACAATAATCTCTTTTGTAATATAATAAAAGTAAGTCATTGCACGTATAAAATTACGAGGTCCAGATAAAGTGATTCACGCTTGCATTAACATTATTTAAACATCATCTATTATTCATGCGCGGCGGTGGTCGAATAATTAAACGGGGAACTTTCAACGAGTCCCAGTAGTAACACTATATTAGGTCAGACATTGTACTTGATTTTACATGCTTTTCGTAGTGTGTTTTTTTTTCCTCATTCGATTATCATTTACCACATACAATATAGTTATCGATTATTTTTTTTTCAATTGAAAAATCTTTTACGTTGAAAATAGTCTTAAAAAAAAACAAAGACTGTTAATTACCTTTTTTTTCAACGTTTTTGTTAAATATTTATAAACATAATAATAATAATAAAATTGTAAAGAAAAATAAGAAAGTAAAAAAAAAATTTCTTCTACTTGGCTGACTAAGTACGTTCTTTATCTACTTGACAAGTGAGAGAAGCGATGCTCTGTGAGTAGTAAAATACTCACTGGGACAGACGAGAAATTAACGCGTGAAAATTGATTTTTCGTTTGTAATGTATTTAGTTTTTTTTTAATAGTAATTAATATCTTTTTAACAAATATTTTTTAATTTTTTAATATTTTTTTTAAACAAATAATAAGCTAGTTTGATTTTACCATTAGTAATTATTTTAGTAAAAACATTTATAATTGATAGGAATAAAAAATAATATGATAAATGCTTATCATCAATATCATCAAAAATCATCAAATTTTTCTTATTTCCTAAAAAATAATTAACGAATAAAAAAAAATAGTATATTATGATAAATTTGATGAAAAATTTTCAATTTCATTAAAAAAAATCATCAATTTTGTCCAAAAATCATAAAATCATCAAAAATTGATGACAGGCAATTAGTAAAGTAATATTTTGACTGTTTTAAGAAAGAGAAAAATTGTTATTGAATTCATTGGAATTCTTTAAAGTTCATCAAAAATTTCCCTAATTATTACAAATTCATTACATATGGAAAATTTCATTAGAAATCATTAATTTTCATCAGAAATAATTAATTTTTCATTGAATATCATCAATTTCATTTAAAAATTGTTCTATTTTATGAAAAATTCTTAAATAATAAGAAAAATAGTATATTATGATAAATTTTCAATTTTATTAAGAAATCATAAATTTTGTCTAAAAATCATCAAATCATCAAAAATTGATGATAGTTAGTAAAATAATATTTTCATTTAATTGGGACAGAGAAAAATTATCATCAAATTCATAGAAATTTTTTAATTTCATTAAAAAATTCCCTTATTATCAGAAATTAAATACATATGATAAATTTTAATAGATTTCATCAGAAATCATCAATTTCCATCAAATATCATCAAATAATAATTAGACATCAATGATTTTCAATTAGTAAAGCAATAATTCTACTAATTTGAATTTGAATTTGATTCCATTTTTATTAAATATCATTAAATAGTAAAAATTTGATGACACTCAGAAAAATGTCGAAACACGAATTGAATTTTTTGAGTGTCATCAAATTTTCACTATTTAATGATATTTAATAAAAATAAAATCAAATTAAAATTCGAATTAGTAGTATTATAGCTTTACTAATTGACTGTCATTGATGTCTAACCATTATTTGATGATTTTTGATGAAAATTGATGATTATTGATGAAAATTGATTATTTTTGATGAAAATTGATGATTATTGATGAAAATTGATGATTTTTGATGAAATGTATCATATTTGTTCAATTTCTAATATTAAAATAAATATAAAATTATCATCAATTTTCAAGGAAATTACTAATTTTATTTATAAAATAAAATCATCAATTTTATGAAAAATCATCAAATTATAAAAAATTGATGACAATTAGTAAAGTAATATTTTTTTTAATGTGATTTAAATAAGGAGGGAAAGGGCAAATATTTCTAAAACATATTTTTAAATTTTTGATTAATGACTTTAAATGTGAATTCACAAAATATTTAAAAATAATTATATTCCATTAGGAGAGAAATTGTGGAATTTTAATGGAGACTTTTTGGGATAAACATGGTAGTTTAAGAAAAAAGAAAAATAAACAAGAAAAAAAAAGTGTATAGAGAGAAACGTAATCAATGAATGAGAGACTCGTAGTATTTATACGACTACGAGGTGAACGTCTTACTGACAAAATTGACAGCTGATTTTTTTTTCTTGTAAATAAAATTTACACCTAATTATCATTTTTTTTTTTTTATAATAATTATTTTAAATTATTTTATTAAAAAATATTAAATAATATTAAATAATATTAAATATAATTTTATTTATAATTATATTATTTAAATAAAAATTTATAATTATAACAATAAAAAATATTAAAAAAATTAATATGAAACTTACATTTTCGTGATGTTGAATTCCATCGATTTTAATTCATTGTTTTTGAGTATATCATCAATCGATTGAAAACCCATCCCCCTACAAACAAATTCCCTTCCGTCGTTTGTCACATTGCACTTTTCAAAATTTTCCACTATTTTCGCTTGTCCCAAAATCCACCAATCGCTTGTCAATACTATCACGAAAAATGACGTCATCAAGATCATTGCCGTCATTCTTCAATTTCCGTTTTTTCAATTTACTGCATTTTTTTGAGTAGTGAATTTTAATTTTTTGAAATCAAGTAAAAAAAAGGAATTTTTACTTCTTTTTTGCCAAAATTGATGATTTTTGATGATTTGAAGATATGGATCGTAGCATCAATTATTGCAGTATTTTTTTCTTATAGAATTAATCAAACTTGCTTGATCAAACTCAAATTGAATTTTCTTGAAAATTGTGTAAATTTATGTTTCTTAAACTGTTTTCCAAAAAAATTGATGATTTTTGATGATTTGAGGATAAGAAGAGATTGAAGAATGTTATTTCGATTATTATTATTATTTCTATGTGGGAGAATTCATTGAGTTTGTTTTGTGAAAATTGAGAAATTTTAATTCAATTTTTTCGGAAAAATTGATGATTTTTGAAAATTTGATGATTTGAGGATAGAACGTAATTTCTTCTTCTATTTTTTTTTCTCGAGATAATTAATTTTAATTGACTCTTTTCTTGAAAAAGTAAATAAAAATTGTATTTTTTATAAAAGTTGATGATTTTTCTTAGAAAAATTGTTGATTTTTTGAGGATAAATTGTCATCCAATGTAAATTCACGGCATCTCTTTTTTTTGAAGGTTTATTAATTCTCTAATTAAAAGAAATATTTTTCTTCATCATCAGACTCAAATTAACAATTTCTGATGATTTTTGATGATTTGAGGATATAAAAATCTGATGATTTTTGAGGATAAAACATCAGAAGTATCCAGTTTCAAATAATTTCTCTTTCTCTTCTCATTTCGTCATCTCGTGATAAAATAACATTCGTTATCAGTCGTTCTTTAAAAAAAAAAATTGATGATTTGAGGATACAAGAAAATTGATGATGAAAAAATTTCCCAAATATCGAAATTTTAATATTTTCTCTTTTTACACAAATTATCTCTTCCTCTTGCAAATAAAAAATAAAAATTCATTCGTTTTGAGCAATTTTTCAAAAATTGATGATTTCTGAGGATTAAATTTTTTCTTCGCCTCTGAAAAATTACTTTATTCAAAAACAGTCTTTTATCTAAAATTTGATTTTCTCTATTCACTAAAACTTGATGACTCCAATTATTTTCAATTATTTGATGATGATGATAATAATAATTTACGTTAAAAATTCCTCTCAAAATTAGTGGATTTTTCACTTGTCGAAAAAATCGATAATCCCAATGAAAATTTTGTAAATTTTTTCTCTTCTCGTGAATAATATGAGACACCTTCTTCTCATTGGTTTTGCTGTTGATTTTTCTCTGAACTTGACCCCAGTTCCACCTCATGACAAGGGGTTGACCCCGCATTGTGGACCACCACAAGCATCACCACCACACAAAACACATTTTTTGAATTTTTTTTTTTCTTAGACAAAAAAAAAAAACTATAATTTCTCTGAACTAAAATTCTCGTTGAAATATTCTAAAATGCCTCATTGACTCCTCTAATTCATCTTTCTCTATCTCACATACACACACACACTTTAAATCCGGATGCTGGGGGGACAAAACGTCAACCACACGAATTGCCACCAATCACTATAAATTGTTCAACTTCAAAACTTTCAAGTCAGTAAAAAAAAATCATTTTTCACTGATTAATGATTTATAAATTCTGCAAAAAAAAAATTTTTTTTTTTTTCATTTCCAATTTTGCTAATTGGTGAATTTTTTATTAAATTGTAATTGTTAAAAAAAATTCCAAGTAGAATTTAAAAATTAGGAATTTATTTTTAATTATAAAATATAAAAAAAATTATTAATAAAATTGTAAATAATAATAATTAAATTTGTTAATTTACTAATTTAACAATTTTCAATTAAAAAATTTATTAAATGAAAAATAAAAATAATTTAAAATCATTTTTTTAAATTAATATTAAGTGAAAAAATTTTTTTCGTACTAGATAAAAAAAATTTTACCGATCATTCAATTTAATGATTCACTAAATTTGGAAAAAAAATCGAATAGAACAAATTTTTAAATGAAAAAAAAAAATTTATTTTTTTTTTTAAAGAGAGAGGAAAATTTTTTTTTTTTTCTTTTAAATCACGATAAATGATGAATCATTGGATGATTATAATTTTTTTTTTTGGCAAGAGACCGACTCGCACCTTCACTGAAGGAGACGGACTTCCACACTGGTGGAGCATTCACCGACTGGACTTGAAGTACCTACTACGTGGGGTCTGCACTGATTTGCTATCTCTTTTGCCCCTATTCCCTCTCTGTCTAGCGTTTGGTGTGACTCCCACCCCTTATAGTGAGGAGGACATTCCCCTCACCGCTCCTTTTGATCTTCCCCTCTACCATTTGGTTTGCCATCAAACCACCTCTTCCACCTTCAATTTTTCTCTTCATTTCTCTCTCTCTCTCTCTGATGTTGTCTTCTTGTCTTCTGGCAACTCGACAACAAGCAACCAACCATCAGCTGGTTTCAGTGTTGTCAAGTTAGTGGTTTTTTTTTTGGGCTAAATTTAGTATGATTTTGCTCGTTTCGTGGATATTTTAGTGAAAGTTTGATAATATTTTATATTATTATTATTATTATTATTATTATTTTACGAACATAACCTCAAAGCATAGTTTAAGGGAGAAACATAACCTCCAAATTTAGAACGAAAAGGGTTAGGTATAACCTTGAAATTGAAAGCAGCTCAAGGGGTAAACATAACCTCAAAATTCAGGCCAATTCAATGATTAAAAGGCGAACATAAACTCAAAATTAAAGCCAATTCAATTATTGAAAGGTGAACATAACCTCAAAATTAAGGCCAATTCAATTATTAAAATGCGAACATAACCTCAAAATGTAGGCCAATTCAATAATTAAAAGTCAAATATAACCTCAAAATTCAGGCCAATTCAATGATTAAAAAGCGAACATAATCTTAAAATTTAGGTCAATTCAATGATTAAAAGGTGAATATAACCTGAAAATTAATGCCAATTGCATTATTAAAATGCGAACATAACCTCAAAATGTAGGCCAATTCAATGAGTAAAAGTCAAACATAACCTCAAAATTAAGGCCAATTCAATTATTGAAAGGCGAATATAACCTCAAAAATTTAGGACGTGGCAAAAAGCAAACATAACTTTAAAGCTAACGACAGGGAAAAGACTCCCAACATAATCTCAAAATTTAGGCGCAGTGAATGAATAAAAGGCGAACATAACCTCAAAAATTGAGAATATGGTAAGAAGGCGAATATAATTTTAAAATTTTGGACAAAACAAAATTCAAAGGGCCAAACATAACCTCCAAATAAAAGTCACAGGTTAAAGATTAATAGGGGAACATAACCTCAAAAATTTAGACGAACTCGACTCGTACAGCATCTAAACTTGCTGCAATATTTGCAACATTGTCTCAATATTCTAATATTTGCTGAAAAATTGTAGAAAATAATATGATAATATCAATGCAATGTTGGCAATATTGCAGCAAGTTTAGATACTGCGTGGGTTGATTTATTCTTAATTTTTCAGGTTATGTTCCCCTTTTAATCTTTAACACAGAAAATTATAAGGTATTATAAAATAAGCTGCAACGCTTATTTTAATGCCTTTTAATTTTTAGTGAAGCTGTGACCTTTTTCTGGAGGTTATGTTTTACCTTTTGAATCTCAAGTCTCTTTAAAATTATGGTTGCTTCTTCCCCCATATTCTAAATTTTTGAAATTATGTTCGCCTTTTAATTTCACTAGCCTATATTTTATGGTTATTTTTTCTGTGACCTGTTTTACAAAACAGGACAAACATAACTAAAATTTTTGGCTAATAGGTCTGAAGATAGAGAAAAACATAACCTGAAAATTTAAATAATACTGAATATTAAAATAATCTCAAAACTTATAAAACACATCAAACATTTAAAAAAGGATTATAATAAAGGTCGATGATAATTTTAAAAAAGAACATGGTAAAGGTTAAATAATTTTAAAAGTTAGGTTATGTTACCGAAAAAAGGAACAAATATAACCTAAAAATTTAAGGCTAATAATATTATACTTATGTAAACTTTTATAAATTTTGAAAAAAGGTATTAAATTTTTTTTTTAAAGTAATTTTAAATATACTTTTAGTTTAGAAGAAGAAAAAAATTGTTTTTAGTGTAAGAAATATATGAGGATCTAGAGAAGAAAAGCATTTTAGTCACCTGACGCCTGGCTTTTGCTGCCAGTGACTGCCGAGACATGTCGAGTGGGACCACTCACTCACTTTCTCACTCTCTCTCTTTCTCTCTCTTCCTCTTGATCACTCTCTTCTTATTCTCGTGTTGATTTTGGTGCTCATGCTCCGATCTTATACTCAGTATGACGTCATCGATCGCCCCCTCATACCATATTACATGATCAGGACCGTATTCGAGGGAAAAAGTTCTCCTTCGGGGTAACCTGACATTAGAAGACCTCTCTTAAAGCTTTCTCTCTACTACTTCTGCTACTTCTTTCTCTCTTTCTCTCAAACTGAAATTATTCCCCAAGCGTTTGCCAAACGATTGAAAAAGAATAATGTCCTCTAAAAATCGAAATTGCATTTTTACTGATGGGTATACCCATATAAGAAAAAAGAAGTGTTTTCAAATAACAAGAAATTGGAATTTAAATTTTTGTATTTTCAATTCATAGAGAATTAGAATCAAGGTCGGTTAAAATTTAACTAGGGATTAAATCATCAATGACAAAACAAATCAGGATTTGTTAAATTTTTAATATTCGATGCAGTCGAGAGAGTTTTGTGTGGAGTAGATTCGAGGGACGATGAAGAAAATGTTATTGACGACAGGTGATTAGGTCAAAAGAGGGAACCTAGGAAACTTCGAATAGGAGGTGTCCAGAAGAATGTGAAACGAATAGAATAAAAAAAGGGTTTGGGAAACCTTTAGCGAGGAAGAAGAAGCATCAGGAAGCGCTAAGGATTGAGGGAGTGGCATAGTTTTTGCAGTACCACAGATCATTGTGAAAGGAGGAGTCGAAAAAAAGGCAGTACATCAAGTCTTTTGAGTGTCAGCAGTGACATAAGTTCTACTAGCCTGGTACCTTCGGAGATGAACACGGAGGTCTTCAACAAACTGCACAAAATTGAGAGGGAACAAGGTAGTAGAGATAGAAAATTTCGTAGAGAAGGTTTAGAAGAAGCTAAAGTCTTGTAATGTCCAGAAGAACGTGAACCAAAAGATTGAAAATCGGAGGTCTTAAAGAAAATATTACTCCGGCAGTCATCAAAGCGTTTGGAAGCATTGCTGAAGTGCAGCCAGTGA